GCCCGAAAAAAAAAAAAAAAAAAAAAAAAAAAAAAAAAAAAAAAAAAAAAAAAAAAAAAAAAAAAAAAAAAAAAAAAAAAAAAAAAAAAAAAAAAAAAAAAAAAAAAAAAAAAAAAAAAAAAAAAAAAAAAAAAAAAAAAAAAAAAAAAAAAAAAAAAAAAAAAAAAAAAAGCGGAATGTCCCTTTTTGTTCATCTTTATGTATTTGGCGCAGTTCGCCCCCAAATACATAAAATGAACGTTCGGGGGGAGGCATTTTGCACTTTTTGCTACTTACCGTCGACATGTTGAGCCAGCTAAAGAGCTATCTCATGAACTTGCAAAACCTTGATGGCTCGACGAGCTTGCTCCAGCTCCGCAATAGTTCACAGGCCTCAACAGAGTGCGATATACAAACCGGAACTGGTGCACACGCGTTTGCAAAACTCTTCGCCCGAACTGCCCCATTTAGTTTCTTACCTTTCATCATTTTGTTATTCACTTAATTTTCGCTGGAGATAATGTTGTGGCAAGCGAAACCGTTACCACGCGCGCGCGCGGTCCGGTGGTCCAATCATGGATCGGCTCCTACCAGGCCACCCAAGCCTTCTACCCTCTGAGGACTGTAAATTGGTACCAGATTCGTCTGGTAGACGGACTTGCACATCGGTTGGGAAACTGCAAGCGAGCGTATGGGCCACATCGCATTCAAATATCGACTGCAAATTAGGAATGGAAGGGAACAAGGGATTAATTGAACGCCCCAGTGACTTTCTCCTTTTTCATTTCATTTTGCCGTGCTCCCACGAAGTCCTCACAAGCATTTCCCAGAAGACTCCGCTTTCTTCGGCTGAACGTCCTAAGAGCTCCTAAGAGCTCCCTCTTCGTCCGTCTTCTAAGAGCTGTGTCTTCGTATTTTCATTTGAGAAGCGCTCATTTCTCGATTGAGAAGGCAGGATTGAGTAGATCCTGCGGCGCTGGCTACTATATATCTTCGCCACTTTTCTGCACGGCTCTAATTTCAGATCCGAGGCTATTCTTCACTTTTTTCCTGTTTCGTAAAGTGGGAAGAAGCGGTTGCGGTGAAACTAGCATGGCTAATAGCGTCACGTAAGCAGCAATCTTACGTCCAGGAACTACAGCCGGGGTCAGCCCATTCCACCCCTTCTGACACCACACTCGACTGATTGTGACAATATCAATTATACATCATTTAATGTGACCCCCTACTGTATGTCGCTTCAGCCCGCCGTGGAATACGACTAGTTGAGCGTGTCGCCCACAACACGGATTCTCCCACCGGCTCCAGCACCCCCTGAAGATTTAATCTAATAAAATTTCGTCTTTTAGATTCCGTCCTAGCTTGTTGTTTTGGGACTTTTGTTGTAAAGAAAGGCACTTTCAGGTACACAGCCTGCAATGCCAGTTGCATGCAAAAACGGCTCCGCATGAATCGGATATGATCAAGAAGAAGCTGGTGAGTGTGCTTGCTGAGACATGCAGCTGTTGTAGTGCTAACTTTCTTCTAAAGCTAAAGCACATTCCGCGATAGTTGGATGGGCGGGACTAACACCGTTGTACTTTAATGAATGGCGCGCTCCTTCTCAAGGCAATGAAGAGGAAGGGTGCGCCAGCGAGGCTCTGAGTCTGGACTTGCTTGTTCTGGCACAGTGTCTTAGCTTGCTGTCGGGTGACAATCAGCCTAAGGTTTGTAAGGCTACATCGTAAAAACTGTGAATTCCTGCTAAACCAAATTGGCTCCCACGAAAATTTTCGCAGCTTCACAGGACTTTACAGATCTGACCAAAGTGAGACCTGTTAGTTAAGAAAAACAAAAGGAACTAGCGAAAACGCCAACTGCCCCTCCAAGCCGAATGGCTCCCTTGCTTGTACATCCGGTTATCACGGAATGTGCCTTTAACCTGCTTGAATGTCGTACTAAGCGATAAAAAATACATTAGGAGACCGCAACGTATTTTTACTGCTTTCTTAATATTAATAATGATAATAATGATACAATAATAACAACCTATATTATTAGGTTGGTCGAAAAGTCCTGCGACACTTTGACCAATTTTTCGGACTAAATTTTCAGTCACTAAAAGACATCTCCAATCGACAAGGTTATCACCACTAAGGACTAGGACTAGTGCCCTTCTTTTGCACAGCTTCTCATTTCCATTCTTCTAGAACTACGGCAACTATGATAAGAAGAAGAGGTGGACCTCATTTTTGAGTAGACGTCGATTTTCGGAATTTTTGCCTTCTTAAGGATGAGGTAGGGATCAAAAATGGTAGTAGTTAGAGACTGCTAACTTTGATGAATAAGCTGGGTCGCATTCTCAGATCGAGATCCACGATCTTTTGGTGTGGCCTGATCTTAACATGCGGTCTTCGCAATGCCGAGCGCTAGAGAAAAATTGAGTATTTTTGAAGAATTCAAGCTTGACGTCATCCATGTTGTGAGGTCGGTTAGAGAGGACTGTAGTCCTTACCGTTATGCTAGTATCCAGAGATACCGCTTTGAAGTCCCACCAATAACCTACTGAAATCTTTTCCCATGCACATGTGCTTTTGGCTGTGCAATCTACTTTCTGTTCGAGAGATCCTGCGAGGAACATGTGCAAGATGTACGCAAGGACCCCACCACTCTCTACCAACCACAAGATCTCACAAAAGTTCCTCCAGTGTGTACAAGGAAAAAAAAAAAACCCAGTCACGGTCATACGGTATGACTTGTCAGAGGGGTTCAACTCATGGGGCATCCTTCATAAAAATTTTTTCCAAAAACCGAGACTGCGGAGAAGCATGGCAGTTGTCAGTTAGGTGGAGCCTAGAGAGGTTGCCTACTTACTGGTGGTTACGTTCGGCTGCGCCTCAAGAACCTTGAGTAAAGGGCCGTCATTCTGTGCTGGTGGCCTACCTATACATTGCCTACTTCCGAGTTGAATAAGTCCAGCCTGGAAGCGCTTATGCAAAAGGAACTCTCTGCTATGGCAAGCGATATCCTTCCTTAAGACAACGTAAGAGTTTAGACCTTCCCGACTATCCCGGGGGCAGTTGCCCCACAAGAGAACTCATAATATGGGACAGGTCGAGGAGTACCTCGATCTTTGAGGTATTTTTAAGCTTTGAAAACTTCCACGGAGCCATGATATACCCATTTTCAGAAACCTCAGGAGACATTCTCCACTAATCAGAGATAAAAACATTCAAAATGATTTTTGGTCTTTTTCTAGAATAGTTCAAACAAAGTGTCGCAGGACTTTTCGACAACCTAATAATAATAATAGTGAATTAATATCTGATTTTAGGATTCCCAAATTGGTCAATTGCACGATGTATTGATGCCATCATTACGTACTGAATGTGAGCTTGAGGTGCTTCGAAAGGAATGTGATCGACAACGGCATCATAAGTCGGTCCTTGGAGACAGAAGTTTCGGTCCTCCCCGGCGAGCCGCCACCCCAAGCTACCCTTGACAAGGTTGCCGTCTATTTCTTTTGCTGACCCCTTTTTCTTCATAAGAAGTACGTGAAAAACCAACATTTTCTTGCTCTCTGCTTCTTCTAAAACGTTATGGCCATGGAAGGGCAGTATCACTCGGGAGAGGGGGGGGGGGGGCATAATGACTCTTTGATATCACAATTCGCACATACATATTTTCCTTGCGCAGTTGTGCTCATCCTTACATTGATGATCCTTGCTCTGCTCGCTCTGTCAACAATCCCTTTCACCTTCATCTAATCCGATCAATTCCAGGAATTGGCCGGCCGTATTCAACAAATTCAGCTGCTGGGACGGAATATGCGTGGGGTCGAGCATGACCGTTTGTGGAATCAGCTGGAAGCGGAAATTCATCTTCATCGTCACAAAACCGTCATCCGAGCGTGTCGGTGAGTACGTGGGCGTATTTCTGTGTGTTTATATGTACGAAGGGCACTCCATGCCGTTTGGGAAACACTCCGCAAAATACGACCCCCTCAGAATGTCCCCCTCTGATATGACCCCCTCCCATGCTCCCTATCGTCGTCCCGAATGCTCTACAACTTTCTACCACCTTTCCGGAAGAACTCTCCTTTTTGAAAACTACCATCGAGCAGAAGGTATATAGTGCAGTAAAAAAAGAAAAGACGAAAAGTCAACAATTGAAGACATTTTTCTCGAGGGCAGATTCCACCCACCACCCACCTCCCTGCAGCGGTCAAAAGCCACCCCTGGATGGGAGGGATCCCCAACCAGCGACCTGGGACTTGGTTGACGCTTGAGAAAGTCGTTCTGAGTGAGATAGGGTCACGGATGTGGTTTATTTTAGATCTTAGGCAAGATTACCGCGCTAAACTAAGATTTCAGGGGTCGAGGTCAAACGAAAGGCCTTCCTACACCGCCGATGAATGAATGCAGTCAACCGATGAAAAGGAGGCGAGGAGTCGGTGACACTAGGAAAGTCGTCCTGGCTAAACAACCGCACGAAGGACTAGGAATATCGATTACGGTAAGTATGGGCATATCTGAGGGCAGTCCGGGGACTAGCTGCGATGGTCCAGAATGAAGAGAGGCAGAAAAGGCGCGGTAAATAGGCAGCCGTCGCCGAAACGCCCCCGCACAGCCTTCAGATAACCACTGTTTACTACAACATTTAATAGTAAAAGACGTTGGAAAAAGGCTCTAGATGACATAGTAGCCAGAGGTGTTACTGTCAAAAAGGTTATTGGGAGGCATGAAACTGAACAAATAGAGGCTCTTTCGAAGAAAAAACGGCTGAACTGAGGAACTTCCTTAGGCTTGGAATTTGTGGACCGGCTCTAGTTCAAGCTTCTAGAAAGGATTTTGTCCCAGGCGGTTTCAACTCCTATCTGAGTTGCAAGTTAGGTCCAGAACTGAGCAGATACGAGGCAAAACAAAAAAAAAATTACATTCGACTTTGCCACAATTTTTGTATGCCCAACTCATTGTGGCATACAAAAATTGTGGCAAAGTCGAATTGGTTAAAAGTACTAACAGCTGCCATTACTAAGTAGTTCAAGTTAAGTCCAAAGCAAGGTACTGATCCGCGTCATTGTTCGAGTAAAGGTTAGCTTGAGTTCAGGTCGCCACGTCACTATTACTCCTCACCCGTAGACCTAGGTGGCCCAACTCATTGTGGCAAAGTCGAATCGGTTAAAAGTACTAACATCGTTATAAGTACTAAGTAGTTCAAGTTACCGTATGCAGAGCAATGACGCCTATGCAGCAAGAGAAGCCGTGATAGAGGTAGTAAAAGAGGAAGAGCGGTGTAGATGCTGTGATTTATGAATCTAAGAGTCGTGAATTGCAGGCACTCTGACGCTCAAGACGCGGCCCTACCCTGTCTGTCGCACTTACTGGAGGTTCACCCTCGTCCCCCAACCTCTCTTCTCTGGAGCAGTGGTTAGGCTAGGACAGTAGGACATGTGGGCGAGACCTTCAGGAACACCCACAATGGATACTGTAGGAGTACCCTCTGAAGGCAGTCATCCAAACGGCGGAGCATTCACATTTGCCACCCTGGAGTTTGAGATATAGAATAATTCACAGTTGTCTGTCACCGCAAGCAATAGGTCGCTCGAGCAATAGCTCACTCCCAGCAACGAGAAGTAACGCCCATCTGGTAAGCCTCCGCCCAAATGTTCTACGCGACCACTGTCTCTAGATCCATTCATGCAATCATGGATACGTTCGAAAGTATTCGTTTATCTCGAGTTGTTGTTCAACCCAAACGTTACACCTCTTGTCAGCCATTTCCAATTTCTCAAATTACAATAAAGGTTATTAGAAACTCTGATGGCTTCAGCAATGAGGTTGATCTTCAAGGGACCGCTCCGTCAACCCTTCGCAAACAGAGCACATCATGGCGATGAGGGGATTCTAGCACGGCCCCTCCGTTCTCCTCCGCCACCGCCTCTAATACGACTCCTCTCTGACCTAGAAATCCAGTTTGGTGTACCTCTTTATCTGCAATTTCCCAACACAATTTATTTGTCTGGAGAGAACGGCACTGCGATATTTATACTGGATCAGAATCGGTAAAAACCCGGCGCTGTTTGGCTTGGGTGCGCTTTCGCTAGTTCCTTTTGCCAGTCTCTGTACAACACGTCGCACCTCGGTGGGACCTATATACTCTTGTCAATGCAAACGAAGCACCTTCAAATTCCACAGCTTCACAGGAATGTAGAAGTCTTCAACCAGGCGTTGGCAGTGATCGACAGGAACCAGAAAAGCGCCCCCACAAAACCGAACTGCGCCAAAAGCCCTCATTTTCCCGTTGAACCTAACTCCATCTTTTTCACTGCTAAGGACCCTTAACAGCGAGGCAAACGCAACCTCTTTCCCCAGGGACTCAAGTATGCTCTTCATCGAAGACTCTCAAACCACCTACCCTGTTCTCCGAAGTCATCGCTACAACGGTAATTCCTGACGGCCCTCGTACTAGGTATATCCGTACGGAACCTGTTCACGATGCGCTTCTCGAAAATTGAACTATTTTGGGATGCACCTGAGGCCATAGGTGATGGGAACAGTTCAGCCGTTGCAGCATCA